GAATGCAGCAAAGGCATCGAGACAGGCAGCAGTGTGAAAGCACAAGTGTGTTTTACATAACACTTTCAAAAACCAAAAGTCAGAAATGAGCTGTTTGTATGCAGCTGGGTCACTGGGTAGCGACTCATCACAGACATCGATATAATGAATTCTGAAATGATGTAAAACCTCAGCAAAACTGAGTTATAACAAAATGCAGCAGGGTCCACTGGAGCTGAGCAGCATCTGCGAGTGTTTCAGTGTTTGGAAGATGATTCTAGGATTGTCAAGTCCATTCAGTCAAACATTCAGTCATTTATTTTCAGATACAGACATCTTCAGTGTACAGTGTGAGCATGACATGAAACTGGCAGTCTGCACCACATATAGTCTCTGATCTTCTCTCCATTAAACGGCGTGCCAAGAACAGCTGTTGTTTCATACAGCTGTGCAAAGACCTGGGATTAGATCATGTCCAGTTGCTGTGTTGTTCAGAAGTTTGCTTGGCTTTCAAGGGGAAAAGTAATGTCATGGTTTTATGAGCTTAAACACGAAATCACTGCCTTCCTCTCACACAATAACTCCCTGTATACTGAGATGCTCAGTGATAAACTCTGGAGTGGCAGTGAAGTACATCAGAGTAGTTCAGGATATGTAAGAAAGGAGTACAATGTCAGTCGTAATAAGACAGAGTACATGTGTATGAACAAAAGGGAGGGAAGTGGAACAGTGAGGTTAGAGGGGGCAGAGGTCAAGAAGGTGCAGGAGTTTAAGTATTTGGAGTCAACAATCCAGTGTGATGGGGAGTGTGGGAACGAGGTGTAGAGGTGAATGCAGATTGGAATGGGTTAGAGACTGTAGCAGTGAGGAAAAGACAAGAGGCAGACATGGAGGTAGCAGAGATGAGGATGTTGAGGTTCTGTCTAGGAGGGACCAGGAGGGACAGGATTAGGAATGAGCACATCAGAAGGACAGCTGAGGTCGGCTATTTTGGGGACAGGGTCAGAGAGGCCAGATTGAAATGGTTTGGACACAAGCACACCCAGTGTACACCAAGTACAATCAGAACACATAATGTATTATATTATATTGTCAGAACATTAATTACATCCACAGCCTCATTGACCTCTGTAAATATTTGCTCTGTCCAGTGTGTAATTTGGGATGAATAATTATAAATCCATTTCATATTCTTCAGAGTTCTTGGGGAAAGAGGATTACTTAGTCAACATTTCATTTCAGATACTTTATAAGGCAAGGAAGAAAAACAGACACATGTAAAATGAAGTTAGATTTCAGCTTTATTTAAGTAATTTCACTTTGAATGGAAAGGTAGACAACATATAAATATTGATTATAAAAAAGAGAGACCCCACCCACCTCCAGCATGGACTGTTTA